AGGAGCTTGGTTTAAAATGGAAGGAGGGATTTTCTCATAACCTATGGTCTCCAGCTCTGTGGATTTAAGCAAATATTGGGAAAGTTGCAAAGAAATGGAATGGTGAGAACTGACAAGAAGGAACACTGGGAATAGCTCAGTCTCCTCACTAGGCAACCAGGAAAGGGAGAAGTTCGGTTTGTTGTGGGTTTTCCCAGGGTTTTTTCGTTAGTTTGTTTTCCCCTTCCTTTTCCTGCTCCACAGTAGCTACAGATTTTCAGCTTTTAGGAAAAGAAGGAGAAACAAAACAGTTTCCCACTTGTCAGATGCCAGTCTATCAAACAATGAATACCTGGTGGATGCACCCTATCAGAAACAAGCAAAAATCTTTGCTTCCTTGCTCGAAGTGCCTACCTATGACTGATAGCTTTGTCTGCTAGTCCTCTGATAGAGTTTTCAAACCCTTCCTACATTTTTTTACAGTATGTCAAAATACTGAAAGCTATAATCCATCCCTGAAAATGGTTACCTTTCTGAATTCATGAAGGGACACAAAACTTGACAGGAGAATACCTGTTCTTATGGTGTGTTGTCCTGCAGTTGACTAAAAGTAAAACGATTTTATTAGTGTTGGTAAAAATTAGTTTCTTTTACAACTTTTTATAGAGAAAAGCAGTAACAAATAATATTAAGAATAATGTATGATGTTGGGTTAATGGCATGATACCTGAAAGAATGAATTTAAAAACTGATATCTGGGAAGTTATTATTTCTTTGGAATACAAAAGGTGCATTCATTCAAAGAACTCATCCCAGACTTTTTATGTTTTCCGTGTCTTTCCCAGGAAACATTTCCTGTGGAAGATCCTACATGGCAATAGGATAATATTGATTGATTATTTTATTGAAATATACGTAGTTACTCAGTTAATCTTGTAGTTTAAATGTATCTCCTGCCCTTTACATATCACTCACCTCACTTCCTGAGCCAAATGATATTGTTTCTACATGCAAATTTTCTTACAGGATTCAAAAAAACAGAATTTATTTTAATTATTTTGCATACATTTATATACTATAGAATATTGGTCTCTGCTTACATCTGAGTGGAAATTATCTCATTCTTTTTATTAAAACTGAAGATAATTGTTCTTCAATAAAATCAAAGTAAGCCATCAGTTAATTCTAAGATTTTGTGTTCCCTTTTGCCAGAAAGTTGTTCCTTAGCAACTGACACTATAAGATGCAAGTTGGCACACTTTATTTTTTTTTCCTCTGTTTGTTCACCTATGGGAGTCACAGTATTATTAGTTTTCCTCGCAAGTGGTTAAAGGTCACAAGTATTATGAGCTTAGGTTGTCTGTGGTCTCTTCTAAAACTACTGTTATGCCAAGTTTGCACATGCTCATGTTTGACTGATTCCAGAATTATTACTACTGAGAGCAATAAAAACTTGCTGATGCTGTAGGAAGTATCCTAATTCTGGAGATATAAATATATATTTATATTTATATATTTTTTTTTATTTATATATATATATATATATCTTTTTATTCATTTATTTTTTATTTTTTTTTTGTACCACAATATGTTTTACTGCATTTGGAGCTGGGAGATCAGTATCACTGAATGAGAGTCCAACAGGGCACAAATTTTGCTATCAGCTGCTGGCTTGATTTGCATTTGAAATTTCTCTCTTGCTACTTGGTTCTCAGGTTTATCAGCTTACCAGCTTTCTCAGAGCTTCATCAGAAGCCTGTTAAAGCCAAGGTAGAAGTATTTAGAGTACACAATTCATAAAAAATGCCTTAAAATATTCCACTGGAGATACTAGATTTCAATAGTAGCTACCAGTGCTTTTGAAGACAAAATATTTTGAAATGTTGGTATCTACACATGCCCACCCCATGCCCCCAGTATGGTCTGAGCAGTCAAAACTCCTAGCATTCCAGAACACACTAGGAACACAGGATTGAAGCTAAAGTTGTGTCCCTCATGCTTTTATCCAACTGCTTTGAAGCCATTAATGTATTTATCCTCACCCCATGAGTTTGTGCTCCTGCAAGTGGCTGGATAGCAGTTTAAGCTGTAGGCAAAGCCTATATTGTGCATGAAGGTAACATGTAGTGGGTACGTAAGGTAACACCAAATGAGCTGTTCTGCCTCTGTGGGTACTGTGGAGACAAAGTCAGTCTGGCTTCAAAAATGGAAGAAATTATAATCTTTGCTAGTGGGCAAACATAACCTCCTAGAAATACAAGCCTGAAATGCTGTACTATTTCAGGTCACTGTCAAGGATAACGTCATGGAACAGTAATGTTTCCTTACTCTGGTACTTGGTAATGCACAGACATTTCTACAGTGCCCTTCATCAGTGTGCTTAAGAAGGAACCTCTCATTCAGCATTTTTCTGAGGCCATTTCTGACAGGAAGAATAACTTTAAGGTTATTATGAATGAACAAGTGGTAAAAGAAAATTTCTACTACTGCACTATGCAGCTGAGGCTGGCAAAGTGGAATTAGGAATTTAATATACTTCAGTTTTATCAGTCTCTTCCCTTTCTGCACTACTGTGTTGCTCTAAAAAGAAGGAAAAACAAAAAGCAGCTTTTTCAAATGGGCTACAGGCCCATTTTATTAAGCATCGCAGGGCTGAAGGGTTGAGATCAGGTTATCTCAGTAGGTTACTGTACATCAACTGATCCACAATAACTGTATGTGCATATAGTCTTAACCAATGACAAATGAAACATAGCATGAGTTAGGTTATCTTGCAGTGAAGGAGAACTACAGTTAGTCACGCTGCTTCATGATTATGCAAGGGCTTCAAAACCCCACTATCTACACACAGAGGTGCTTATTGCAACTCAGATGACCTGATGACATACTGCATTCTGGTAGTGTCATCATCTGTCTGAACTCCTGTATTGTCAGGCCTTTGCATTGTTGTCAATGTTAGTAAAAGGAAAATTGGCTTATCCTGGCTCAAACTGGGACAATAATTTTATTTTGTGGTTCTAAAGTGGTGTGCACAGTGGGGTTTAATCCATATCCTGTTTAGCGTGATGTTCAGAAGTCAAACTTAAATATTAAAATAATAATACGGAAAACTTAAACTCGTAATCCAGATTTGCTTCCTTATTTTATGGGAAGTTACATAAGTGCCCAGAGGTGCTGAAGAAGTGTGAAAAAAAGAAATGTATACTTTAAATATGGAGCTTTTAATTTTCTCAACAACACAAATATGTTAGATACAGAACGCAAAAATCACTTACAGTATTTTATCAACTATAAGGTGATATTCTTTGATATTGCAGCTGCGTGCTTGGCACAGTAGTAGTATTTCTGTACAAATGTAGGGAAGTCAGAGAAACTTGCTTTTTTCACTATAAAAGTATACATGTAACAGGTAAGGCTACAAGTCTGCCTTCAAGTCTGTAAAGCATTCCTTCCACTTGGCAATACCTGGCCATTTATGAATAGTAACTTGGTAGCCATTGCATCACATTCTCTTATTTTGGAAAAGCTGATGATATATATTCGCCTTTTATGCCACTTTGTTTTGCCTGCACCTGTTCTATTCGCTCAAAGACAGGGGTTTTTTCCTTGTCATTTTTTTATCTAAAATAATATATGTATACACATATATAGCAGATAGGAAAGCAGGTATGTAAAGTGTAGGTTATGAATAGTATAATTATGAATCACCATAAAATTAGTAAGCTTTTTTAATCCTCAAAGCCTTTGATTTCTTAAAAGTACTGTGAAAAAGCGCACATGCGATTATCATTATGTGGTGTTTATCTGCATTTCATAAATTAGTAAAAGAAGAGTTTGCTTTAGAACCAGGACAGTATTATATTTCTCTGTATATATTTCTGTATAAAGAAGTTAAGCATATGAATGAAACAGGTGAAGTAAATAAGCTACTGCATCCATGGGAGAAAATGGGTGAAATCTATTCCTAATCATAGCTGAACCAGTTGAAATAAAATGGAGCTACTGTAACTCTCCCAAGATAACTGGGAAATTGCTCTGCAACTCACACGAAAGACGAAAGAAGGTGAGCATGTGCTGGATTAGGTGGATCTCTTATTGACACCCTTCGAGGCATGGGAAAGTATTGAAAGTATTTAAAGAACTAAAGTACCCTTTAAAAGGGATGTACCAGTACCAGTGACATGAAATTTCACTTAGAATTGCCACTTATTATGCACAAGCTCCTAATTTCATACTGTAAAGTGCTTTTATCTTTTATTCCTCAATGTAAGAAATATCCTTATTCAGGAATAGAGTTGATTTTTTAGGAGGAAAAAAACCCCACTATCACAAAGTCCTTAAGTTAAAAAAATCAGTCTTGGTCCTAAATGGGAACAAGACACTGTCACTGTGTCACTCCTCTCTGGTGCTGATCAGGGAAGTCCTTGTTTGTCCATTGGTCTGTTCTTGTCTTAAAGATTTGGAGCTATTGCAATGTGATGCAAACAGACTGCATCAGAAAAAAAGAAATTTCCTCCTTTGTTAGAATTTGTGAAGACTTTGAGTATCAGTGAGGTTTGGAAAAAGGAGATGCAGGGCTGGGCCTGGGCCTTTATACCTAGAAAATTCTCTTACCTCTTGCAATTGACACTGCAAGGCTCTCAATTTTGAAAGTCTAAAAGGAAAATTGGCATTTAATCCTCATGGAGGCAACGAAGGGAACAAAGAAAGAAAACCTAGACTCCTTCCTCTCTCCTCATGCTGGGCTGAATCACCTGGAAAAGGATAGAACTCAGTGTGATGAAATAGTTCATTTGAAATATTAATTATCCATCAAAGAGATGGTCCAGACTTACTGAGGTGTCAGAAGGCTTGTCACTGCCACATGCAAGCCTTCAGAAGGTACATCTGAGAAGGGAAGATGTTGTTAGAAATAGTTCCCTGTATGACACACTGTCTGTATTTCTTCCTAAAACAATTCTTAATTAGTTCCTTTTCTTTTTTCTTTTTTCTTTTTTCTTTTTTTTTTTTTCAATATGCAGCACCAAGGAAAAATTGGAGTTAAATTTAATGTTGGAACTGATGACATCGCTATTGAAGAAATCAACGCAATCATTAATGATGGAAAATATCATGTAGTACGTTTCACAAGAAGTGGTGGCAATGCCACATTACAGGTGGACAACTGGCCAGTTATTGAACGTTACCCGGCAGGTAAGGGCTTATGCAACCACTTGTGACTAAGAGGGTGGGGGATGTGTGAAGTTTTGCTCATTTGCTTCTCTTTTAATACATTGTCAGCTCCTCTGCAGTGTTTTAGTAGCTAATTAAGCAGTTAAAGAGACCTGAGCAATATGCACTTTATGATGATGGCATTTCCTAAGTGAGTTTAAAAGCACAAATTCAAGTTATTACTTGAAGTGGAAAAATACAGTTATCAATGCATGAAATACTGGTTTAGTTTCTTGTTTTCATTTGATTTTATTGGCTTATTGTTTTAGGGGGGAAAAAAAGGCTTTGACAAAAGCTACACAGTAAAGTGATTCCCAAACCGATCTCCAAGTGATGGGGTAAAACAATTACTGAAGAAAAGAAAGTTCTCAGTAAAGCAGTCTGAAGCATAAGAATTTAGCAGAAGTGTTCCAGCAGGCAAAAGTTGTATCAGTTATCATTTGTACAACCAACCAACCAAATTAAGATACCTTAACTTAAAATGCAAGCTACAGGGTATTACTTATGTAAGTGATGCTGGTTACTGAACAGGACCACTCACGTGAATACAGAATTACCTTGATTGGGCCTGTATTTAATTTTACAGAAATGCCATGTGCAGATTGTGGTGTTCCTAATTTTATTAATTTTTAAAGGTAACAGGTTTTTCAGATATGCAATCTCTTTCTTATTGCCTAGAACTAATGGGCCATTAATGGTAACTTACAGATATGCATGTTATCTGTTAACAGTTGATGTATGTGCATATAGTATTAAACAAAAGACAGCAAATCCAGAGATGTAAGTGAAAGGTATTCTGGTTTGCATATTTGCTATGACATAATCGACACTTCTGATTTATCTGTTTAAAAGTAGAAAATGCTTCATCTTGTGGGTGGAGTGGGATGGAAGGGTATGTTTCACTAATAAGGAATGTGCAAGCCATTCCCTGTATGAATTATTAGTATTAAGGGTTTTGGAGTTGAGGTTTTTTTGTTGGTGGTGGTTTGACTTGTAGTCCAGCTCTTTACCTGATACTTTTTAAAATAATTTTTAAAAAATCCGTGGGTGAAATATAAACCTTCAAATAATTTCGTGGAATTCATTTGAAATTTAAAGTAAAAAGGAAAGTATGCATTGCAAATGAAATTATGTATAGCAGGAGTTGTTAAAAAAAACACTGGTATGCTAATGCGTTATGAATGACTGACAGTTCTGGCAGTTAGAAACCATTAATGGCTTTAAGTTAGACACATCTCTGAGAGGTGATAAACTCTAGAGGGAAAGGGGGATAATAAATGAAAGATGTCTTGTGATCTTTCAGATACTCCAGTATCCCTCATGTCACCCTTGTCCTCTAACTTTTGCAGTGTTTTGTTTGGTAAATGGTAACTGAAATAAGAAGGTAGAAGCTGGGAAGGAGTATGTCTTAGTTAGTCTTGAAGACCTGTGTGGCAGAAAAGAAAAAATAGGTTTGGGCTGTTTTGTTTTTTTCATTTGTTTTATACCTAAATGATGAGCATGAAAATAGTTTTCTTTTTCTTCTCTGTTCTATTTCTTCATGAAAATACAAAGTGGCTGTAACAATGAGACACTGCAGTTGAATTCTGAAGATAGTAGCATAAAGAATTTGTTTATACTGAACACAGGTCAATTTAGAAAACAGAATTACTTCCTTGAATAGGATTAGTGGAGTGGAAGGAGGTTGGATGTTTTATTTATAAAAGAAAAACAAAAAAATAGAGCTTCTTGAGCTGCCTATAGCAATCTATGCACAAGCTGCATTTCAAGGCATTTTCAGTTGCTTCATCAGCTGAGCTACTGAATCCCTTGGCTTTCCCATAGTAATATTTTAGGGCTACTGTATGCCATAGCTTTGAAATCCATCCTTCCCCTTTTCACCCTTGTTGTGGTTTGGGCCCAACACTGCAACAAAGAACCAGCCCTGTGGCTGCTCATTCAACTCCCCACCCCATACACAGTCTGGGATGAGGAGGACAAAGCTCATAGATTGAAACAAAGGACAAGGAGGGTTCTTCACCAGTTAAGGTCACAGGCAAAACAGACTCAACTTGGGGAAAAATAATAATCTCATTTCACACTAATCAAATACACACGGGACACAGGCAACACAAAGTGCTGTACTTACATATGTTACCCCACCCCTCCCTTCTTCCCTGGCCCAAATCACTTTATTCCCAATTTCTCTCCTTCCTTCCCCCCAGCGGCACAGGGGAACAGGGGATGGGGTTTAGAGTCAGTTCACAGGCTGGTGGTTCTTGCCACTCCTTCCTCCTCAGGAAGAAGGATTCCTTACAGTCCTGCCCTGCTTCCCCATGGAGTCTCTCCCATGGAAGAGAGTCCTCCATGAACCTCTCCTTCTAGATTGAAACAAAGGACAAGGAGGGTTCTTCACCAGTTAAGGTCACAGGCAAAACAGACTCAACTTGGGGAAAAATAATAATCTCATTTCACACTAATCAAATACACACGGGACACAGGCAACACAAAGTGCTGTACTTACATATGTTACCCCACCCCTCCCTTCTTCCCTGGCCCAAATCACTTTATTCCCAATTTCTCTCCTTCCTTCCCCCCAGCGGCACAGGGGGACAGGGGATGGGGTTTAGAGTCAGTTCACAGGCTGGTGGTTCTTGCCACTCCTTCCTCCTCAGGAAGAAGGATTCCTTACAGTCCTGCCCTGCTTCCCCATGGAGTCTCTCCCATGGAAGAGAGTCCTCCATGAACCTCTCCTTCACAAGTCCTTCCCACCTGGTCAGAAGCAAGCTGCTCCAGTGTGGGCTTCCCACAGAATCATGGGCTGCTTCGGGAACTCTCCTGGCACCGGGGTCTTCCAAAGCTGTGTAATCAGAGTCCACTGGCAGCAAATCCACTGGCCACAAAATCCAAGTCTACTGGCCAAATTCACCCCTCCTGGCGCCTTCAGGGAATATTCCACCACATTCCTCCGTAAGTAAAGGGGAACAGCTGCCATCTCACCAGGAGTTGTAGGTAAACTTCTGCTTGGGCAGCTCTGCTCTGCCCATCCAGCACAGCTCTTCTCCTCCAGCACAGCTCTTCCCCCTTAAGTGCTGCTCCATTTTGGTGTTATCTCAGTACTTTTCTATGTTAACCACTGAGGTGCATCTAATGCCCCTCTAATGGCTCTTTGGCTGGTTTTGGAGCAGGGAGAGCTTCTCAGCTTCTTACAGAGCCACTCTTGGGGCTACCAAAAACCCCACCAAACCGAACCAGAGCAACCTTCCATCTCTTCTCCCTTCCCAGCACAAGAGCATCTAACCATACCTTTTTCTTACTTTTCCCTGCTGCTCCATCAGATTTGACACTCTTCATTCACACTCTTTTTAAACACAATTTTTTTTTTCATAGGCTGCTGTCGATGGACCTTTTAAGAAAGGCACAGACTTGTCCTGAAGATTGTGCTGCATTTGAGCAAGGTTAATACTGCTCTGAAAATATGAATGGGACCATGTTCAAAGCTACCACTATCATTCTAGTTCTAAAAGTAGTATTTGTAAAAGTGAAGTCTTAAAAGACACCAGACAACACAGTATGGCAGATGCTGCTGCATCCAAGTTTGAGTTAAAACAGCTCTTGCTGTTTCAGGGACTGACAGTAGTACCTGGCAGTACTGGTTAACCAGCTAAGTTGCTCTTTGCTTGTGGTGTGGTTGCAGTTGTATAATATGGACTCAGTTTGATCCTGTTTGCATGAGTGAGTGCTCAATAACTTCTATTTCAGTGATAGATTTTTTTTTTCTTTGTGCTTGTTTTCTGAATTGTTCCTTCTGCATAATATCTTATTGTGCCTGCACCACTGTACAAAGCATAGACTTTGCTTTCCTTCTGTTGTTTTATTTGTTGGATTTTTTTGTTTGGTTTGTTTTTTTCCATTAAAATTCAGAATAGAGACAAGATTAGCATCTTAATTAGTATGTTTGCTAATCTTAAATATGCTAGATGTTTTTTTAAATAAAAGCTGATTTTAAAAAAATCAGCTGGTTGCCTAAAGCATACCAATTGAACAATTCTCCTTTCTTTATGAGGAAAAATTTTACTCTGAATTACAATTCTGGCTGGAGTGTTTGACTACAAGACATCCCTTGTTTGTCACTGGTGTCTTAAAATATTTGGTGGAGATTTTCTGAGAGAGGTTTTTGGTTAGAGGTTCAGAATTTTCCAGTTTCATTACCTGTGTAGCCTTCTTACAACCTCATCTGCTGTAGATAGTGGCACCCAAGGCCCCATAACAGTTGGTGTTGCATCACTTGCTAGGAGTATGTACTTGCTAGATGGGCACACACTCTTCTGGGTGAAACACTGGCTGGACAGTTTGGCCTAGAGAGTGGTGAGAGTGGTGGTGAAGAGAGTTAAACCAGTGGGGGGCTGGTCACAAGTGGTGCTACTCAGGGCTCAGTATTGGGACCACTTCTTTTTATCATCTTTATCAATTATCTTGATGAGGAGATAGAGTGCACCCTAGTAAGTCTGACCAAGTTGAGGGGGAGTGTTGATCTGCCTGAGACTAGGGAGGCTCTCAGAGAGACTTGGACAAACTAGATTGATGGGCCAAGGTCAATTGTATGAAGTTCAACAAGGCCAAGTGTGGGGTCCCGTGCTTGGGCCACAACAACCCCATACAATGCTATGGGCATGTGGAAGAATGGCTGCAAAGCTGTCCAGCAGAAAAGGACATGGGGTTCTGATTGATAGGTGGCCAATGGCATCCTGGCCTGTATTAGAAATAGTGTGGCAAGCAGGACCAGGGAGGTGATCATCCCTCTGTACTCAGCATCGGTGAGGCCACACCTCGAATACTGTGTCCAGTTTTGGGCACCTCAATACAGGGAAGACATAGAGGTGCTGGAGCATGTCCAAAGAAGAGCAACAAAGCTGGTAAATACATTGAGAACAAGTCTTATGAGGAGCAGTTGGGGGAATGGGCTGTTTAGTCTGAAGAAAAGGAGGCTCATTGCCCTCTAC